CATCTTTAAGTCAATTTAATAAACCCGGGTTTAAATCGATAGCGAAACTGATCATTTTCCAAGGTTCTTTAAAAAGTGCGAAGTCAAGTTTCCCGGTAACTAATTTTCAGCTCAGTTGTAAAAACAGGGAACATTCATTTAGCGTAACTTCAGCACGCTAATTATATTACACGATACAGTATTAGCAGTTAGAACCTTATTCTTACAACATTGATGCTTTGTCGGGAGATATGTAATGAGAATACACACGGATAATCATAAACTGAATATAAGGAATACTTGGTTGATGTTCTACCATGCAGCTTCTCATAACTCCATAAGAATTAAATGTCAGAGGTAGTCAGTATGGAGCCGGAATTGATTTTGCAAGATAGCACAATGGGACCACGGTAACAACAAGCAAACATAGTTGTTTTGTTTTTATTGTTCAGTTAGTATATTATTTTCATTCCAATATTTCATCAGGCAAATATCATTTTATCTGTGATTACTGCTCATAAGGTTAAAGGAACTACGTCACGGTTTGCACATCTTGAAAAGTTTAGCCTAAATTTTTCAAGTTCGTCGTTTGTAATCCGTGTCAATCTTTTCCATCCTTAACCATCCTTGTACCGTTATTGTTCATTATTATCTCTTTGGTGTATTTCTTTCTTAGCAAACTGTACAATTACAGGTTTCCTTCAACTTAAAGGTAGTGTAAGTGGCTAAAATAATTAACAATTATTCACCGAAGTGGAGGTAAATATTCATCACTTTCACCGACACTGAGGTGAATAATTGTTTTAGTATATNAATTTTCAGCTCAGTTGTAAAAACAGGGAACATTCATTTAGCGTAACTTCAGCACGCTAATTATATTACACGATACAATATTAGCAGTTAGAACCTTATTCTTACAACATTGATGCTTTGCCGGGAGATATGTAATGAGAATACACACGGATAATCATAGACTGAATATAAGGGATACTTGCTTGATATGGTCTACCAGCTTCTCATAACTCCATAAGAATTAAATGTCAGCGGTAGTCAGTATGGAGCCGGAATTGATTTTACAAGATGGCAAAATGGGACCACGGTAACAACAAGTTGTTTTATTTTTGTCGTTCAGTTAGTATATTACTTCTAACAGTTAGTATATTACTTCTTAGAATATTACTTCTCCATCCTTAACCATCCTTGTTCCGTTATTGTTCACCATTATCTCTTTGGTGTATTTCTTTCTTAGCAAACTGTACAATTACAGGTTTCCTTCAATTTAAAGGTAGTGTAAGTGGCCAATTATTCACCGAAGTGGAGGTAAATATCCATCACTTTCGACACTGAGGTGAATAATTGTTTTAGTATATACCACACAAGCTGAATAATTAGCGGACCAAAACGTTGT